TCAAAACTGTTTACATGAAAACAGAATGCAAATTATGTGTAGGTAACATTGTAATACACACCTCCGGAAGGGTTTGCTTGTGTCAGTGCATGGCTGAAGTGTGGCTTATTCTCAGGGTGAGCAGGAATGTGGCACACATTTAAAGGAACACTGAAGTGCTTCAGGAGAAGTATTTGAATAGTCTTAGAAAGTATTACAGATCATAAGGCAAATAAAGGACATTTGTGTGTTTGATTTATTCCTGGCACATAGGACAATTTCTATTAAGTGGGAGTTGGTTATAAAACCTCTAAATGTTAATTGTGGAACAGATTTCTTAAAGACTTGGAAAAGCAAATCACCTATAAATGAGTTCAAGCAAAGTCAACATCTGGAGGTGCAGCACTTGGGAAGATCATCTCAGCTGCCATTTCAAATCTCTTTCAGTAGGTGAGATTGGTAATTAGGGGAAAGTACAAGCTTATTGGAATAAGACCGAAGAAACAGTAATGACTAGAAAGTATTTGAAATTTCAGTCTGAAGCCAGTTTTACTTCCTCGTCCTTAGAGAAAGAGAGGAATGATAATAGGAGTAATTCTAGTTGTGAGCAGATGGAAGGAAATCCTCCCAGAGTTCTATTGTTTCTCCTTTGAACAGGATGGAACACTGTTTCTGATTTAGAATAAAATGAAGGGACTAATGAACCAAAGTCTGATACACACAGCACTTGTTCATGGGGCTTAAACTCAGGGCAGGCGACAGCACAGCTTCTGACTCCTCACCACACTGCCCTGATGATGGAAGGCAGTCTGGGGGTCTGTCTGCCCATTTCCTCCTCACCTCCAGACTGGTTTTGACATTGGCGTGGCCGGTAGGCCATCCATCCTTATGTTGGCTTATGCCATCATGAGGTTGGCACAGCCAATGTCACACCTAAGCCATGTACTTGGGGCCCTGTAGGCATGACTCAGAGCCAAGCACAGTGGCTGGCTCTTGGCCGGTGTTTCCTGGATACAGAGAATGAGGTGGGTGCAGGTTAGAGCTGGGTGCTTACTTTCCATCACTAGCTTGAACTTAGATGTAAATGCCACTCTCACTTAGCGACCAGGGTAACAGATTTGCCAAACTAAGTCTGGGGTTTGTAGGAATTGTGGTGCTAGATGGGGTGAGGATTAGGAAAAAAACAAAACAAAAACCTTTGGTGTCATGTTTCAAACAGATAGCAATAAAAATCAGTTATGACAGATGAATGACAATAGTGAAATAAAACAAAGTCTCCATAAACTAATTTGCATAAAGTGAGTCAAGGGATACATTGAAAGATTAAGTTCAATGGCAAAACATGAGAAAATCCTGTTTTCCCTATCATTACCTTATCTTTTCCTCCTACAACAATTCAGCAGATGTTTCTCTAAGAGTTTTCTATTTGAAATGGTACTTTTAAAAACAAGAGATAGGGTCTCACCATGTTGTCCAGGCCAGTCTCAAATCTCTTGACTCAAGCAATCGTCCTGCCTCAGCTTCATGAATAGCTAGCTGGGACTACAGGTGTGTGCTACCTAACCCAGCTAAAAAGATACTTTTGCTGCATTGCCTGTTATTTCCTTTTGAAGTACCCTTAGTTTCTTATTTATAACAATGACAATAACACACTTACATAAGGCTTTACTATTTACAAGTTACTTTAAATACATTACCTGACTTGATCTCTGTAGAGGCAGGTAGGGCAGATACCACAACCCTACACTTTATAGAAATTCTATCTTCTGATAGTGTCAAGGATGAATTCAAAATATCTTTTGTTGAGTGTTCACATGATCAAATGAGAATGATTTTTTTCTCTCACCTTCGGGCCCTATTGCAACAGGGAGCAGACTCTCAGATGTTATCCTACAAGATGCTTTTTTGTTTTGCTTTTTTAAATGGGGAATTGGAAATTGGATGGATATTGGAGACAGACTTCCCTCCCAGCAAAGCTATGATTCTGGTTATACAGCTTACTACTTCTGCCTATCAGCTTTCCATGGGAGACAGTGTCTATCACAGAAACCGCCACAGGTACCGTTAACTATACTATACCTTTCAAAACAGCTCCTCTGCTGTACTTGATGGTAGCACAGAAAGACGGGTTTCTGGCCAGGCTTGGTGGCTCACACCTGTAATCCTAGTACTGTGGGAGGCCAAGGTGGGTGGATTGCTTGAGCTCAGGAGCTCAAGATCAGCTTGAGCAAAAGTTAGACCTTTCTCTACTAAAAATAGAAAAAATAGCCAGGGGCGAGGGGCGCCTGTAGCAGGAGGCTGAGGCCAAAAGATTCCTTGAACTAGGTGTTTGAGGCTGCTGTGAGCTAGGCTGACGCCACTGCACTCTACCCAGCAAGACAGAGTGAGACGCTGCCTCAAAAAAACCTCAAAAAAAAAAAAAAAAAAAAGGTTTTCTTTGTGTGCTAGAAGAATACAGTAATAGGAAATTTAAGCTTCGTTTTTTCTTGGAGAGTAGGGGAAGAGAAGTTCAGCCCATTTCCACCCCAAGTCTAAACTTACCAGCAGGTGGCGCTGAGACAAAAGCGATCAGGAGAAACCGGTCGGTCGGCAGGTCCCCGAGGGTCGGGAGAAACCCGGCCGGCCCGCGTGTGCCTAATCTGTCACAAGGCTCAGCCCTCCGGAGTCCCTCCCCGCCGAAGCCCTCTTGCCAGAGACCTGCACATCCCAGCAGGAAGCAGTAATGCCTTCACTCGACTACCGCAGAGCACCTGGCTTCAGGAATCTTTGATAATAAGCACTCTAATATTCAAAATGCACTTGACAGTTTTATAAGGAGGTCTCCGTATACAGTTAGACGCTATCTTGATAAAAATGAAACTCCTCAGAAAACAACAGGGGAGGCTCCTATCAAGGGTGCCCAGACCTGCAGGTAAGCCTGGGCCTCTTTGATGGCTCAGCACACACTCCACTGAATTGTCTTCTGGCCTTCAGGCCCCATGTCCCACAAGCTCCTAGGGGCAAGTCTCATCCTGCATCCCACACCAACTTACAGGCAGCATGTGCCCAGGGGCTCTGTGACGCAGGGAACATCACAGCCACAGATGTGCTGTGGGGCTTAGGAAATACTGATTCCAAGTCTCAGATCCTTTCTCCCTTATCGAAGACCTGGGAAATTTTAAGTCCCCATGGGAGACCTTGGGCCCATTATAGAACCCTGAAGCACTCACTGCCTCTGCTGACCATTTGGGGTTCTGACCCCTCTGGAAGTGGCCTGTAGGAGGAGATATTCCCACTGACCGGCTGGGTTGAGGCCACCCATGCTTACAGCTGAACCCTGTCCAGATCTTCTGTGGGGAATTAAAGCACCGTTGTGAAAGCCCAGAGCTTCAGCCCACCGAGTGGGGCAGACTGAGGAAGGCCAGGGAATGCTGAAGGCATCTGGGGCAGGGCACTGAGGCAGAGCACTTGGCCTGCACTCAGGGAGTTCAGCTCCCTTGGTCACTGGGTCCCTCAGTGAGTGGAGATGAGACGATTCTTCTTCCTTAGTAGTTTCTGGAGAGCACTGAGCGCAGTAGTTTCTGAGAGCACTGAGCAACAGCCCCACAGGGAAATGAAGTATGGTCACTACCACAACAAAGCCAGAGCACGGGGGCCTGTGAGGGACAAAGAGCCCACGGCTGAGTCTACAGGGTAAGAACTATCAACTGCCAGTCACTGAACCAGCCAGGGACCACCTAAAGCAGTGGTTCTTAACCTTCCTAATGCCCCAACCTTTTAATACAGTTCTTGTGGGTTGCAACCCACAGGTTGAGAACCGCTGACCTGAAGGAAGATAGGTCCACATAGAAAGTTGGTCCATGTGAGGTGAAGATGACCAGTGGTATCATACACACACACAGGTTGGGAGTGAGGTGTGTGTGGGAGATCCAGTCTGTAGAATGGCTAAGTCAGCTCAGAACACTGGTGCTCTTAGTGCACCCCACTGTGCCCATGTGACTTCTGCTAGTGTTGGAAAGTGAGCCGACCATCTCTTCATTTTCTCACTTGTTAAATGAAAGGAGTATTAACCTGTTCATGTGATTATGGGCCCCTGGGAAAACTGAAAAAGAACGTGGTTTTGTGGGATAAGTTTTCCCAGGATCTCTTCTATGCAATGTCTATTCCCCTTTTAACATCTACCCTACTTAATAACAACAACTATAGAGGCTGTAAGATCAGCTATTTTATACTGCTAGCCATAAAGCTAATTTCACTATCTCATTAAATATATGTTAAATTATTGGGTGTTTTTCCCTTTTAAAAAATATCCAAGTCAGAAATACCTGATAACCCCAACTTTCCATCCCTTTATTACAAACCCAAGCTGATGTGATTGTCTACAAGACACATCTGGCTGCTGAGACAAAAGCAGATGGGTCCAATACTTATAAATTTTGTATTTATTATAACAAAAATTATGACATGTCCATTTGTGCATTCTGCTTTAATATAACTCTGGGTATGTAAATGGTCTAATGGAATGCTATACAACCATGCTGATTGTGGCAGCAGTAAGGAACACAATTAAAAAGTGTCTACAGAGTCAGGAGGCTGGGGACAGGAGAGAGGAAAACAGGTTCAGGGCCCTGTGGGTGCAGGTTCTGTCTAGCGGCCTGCGATCGGCCTCCTGTGGACAGAAACCTCCAGCTGCTCCGCATCTTCCTTAGATGAAGTAAAGGTGAATTGTGAGGTGACGGTGGGCAGGGGCTCCTCAAAGGGGAGGAAGAGAAAAGTCAGTTATTTAGGCTTGTGTCCTTGTGCCAAGACTACAAAACATTTTAAGCATCACTATACAACACTGAGCTATTTACAATAGAAATTTCTCAATCAACTGTTCTCTCAGAGAAAATTAGTGAATCCCAGTGACTTAAGTCACCTGACAGAGTAAAGCAACTCCTAGGAGTTAGTCTCCATATTCTACAAATGTCTATCATTTTCAAGACAAAAAAAAGCCCCCCAAGAATTACAATATTAATAAATCATTTAGCAATGGCAACCCACCCTGTCTTCCAAACAAAAAGCCATTTTAAAAAATATTACATTATCATTAACTGTTTCTCTGTAATATATTAAACCTTTTCTTCTTTGTTTTTACATATCTGATATGTTAGGGGGAAAAGTTAACAAATTTAAATCATATTGATAAAACATCACTAGGAAGAAAAGTGGTATTTAAAAAAATAACCAACAGAAGGAGAACCTACAGATTAGCTGCAAAGACGGGCTGGGGACAGTGTCAGGGATAAGGATGTGGAGTAAAACCCCTGGTTTAATGTGAGCCTGGGAGACTCTTGCAACATAGTCTTTCTTGGTTAGTTTATTTTGGAAATAGCGCCCAGTCCGGTCATAGTGGTGTGTCGTAACAGTCTGGCAGCTGGTCCACCTGGTAGTGCCGCTGTGGTGGCGGCTGTAACTGGGGCTGTGGCTGCTGCTGCTCCTGGTGATGTTTCATGATTTCTTTCACTTCCTCTTCCAGCTCTGGAGGGATGATAAACTGATCGTCAGGATCCGGCTGAGCTGGGGCAGCAAAATAGCCTCCTGGCTTTCGGAGAGGTGCATCTGCAGCCACCTCTATCACATTGTGGCTCCTCTCCTGAGGTGCGACAGAGCCATTAGGCCTCCGGCGCCCAATGGTCCCCACAGCAGAAAAGTCTGCCTTCCTGGGCAGACCGGGCTCGTCCTCATTGGCGCTGATGACAATGCCCTCGTCGCTGGCCTCCGCTGGCACCTGGAGCAGGTGCTGCTGTTTCTCCCTCTCCTTGGCCCGGCTGCAGTGGATGTCCACTTCCACCTCCACCCGGCTGCCATTGGTGAAGACGCCCTCGATGGGTTCCTCGTCATCACTGTCAAGGCCATTGTCGGAGAAGGCGCTGGAGAAGGTGGCGCTGGACAGCTGGCGCTGGAAGGAGTTGGACAGACAGAGCGGGTGCAGCATGCAGCGCTGCTCGCTGGGGCAGGCGGGGCTGCTCTCATTCAGGGCTCCAGGAGGGGGCTCGTCAGAGGCTGTGGACCCGACCTCACTGCTCATCTCTGAGGTGGAAAGCTCGCTGCTGATCTCAGAAGCCATGCCGCTGCTGGAGGACGGCACGCCCAGCCCATCGGAAGGCCGATCCTTGATCACCATGTTGACGGAAGGAGGGAAGATGCCAGGGCTGGGTGGAGGCACGGTCCCGCTGGCGCTGAGCTCACAGCAGCAGAAGCTGTCCTCGGTGACACTGAGCTGCACCACCACGGCGCTGATGCTGTCGTGGCAGCCATAGCTCTGGGCCAGCGTGCACAGCTTCTTGGCGGCAGCCAGTGCGTCAGGCACGTTACGCACCGCCTCCACGGCCTCCTCAATGGACAGGCTGTCCCACAGCCCCTTACTTCCCAGGATGAAGAACTCGTCCCGGGGGGTCAGGAGCACGGACTGCACGTGGGGGCGAGGCACCACACTAGGGTGCAGGAAAGTATAGCCCAGGATGCGCGTGGACTCAGTCACTCCATTCACTTTGCCATCCTGGAGGAAGAAGGGTTCCAAACAGTTAACAGAGCACTGGGAGCACTGTGCAGCTTTCCCTCTGGGCCACCCAACTGGAGGACTGCAGGGATGGTGCTGTGTGGCCCCCACAGCATGACGTGCCCACCCTCTAATGAGCAGTCACTACACTGTCATCAGAATCCCTGGGGTGGTGGGCCTGGGCAGGTGAGGAGCAGCTGGAAAAAGATTTTGGTTATTTGCATTAGTGGGTCCACATTTGTGCTAGGTAGTAAGTCCCATCACTTCTCTAAAGCAAGCCTAACTGTAGCCTTACACAGTGAGCACAGCTGAACGGCTCCTCCTGCAAACCCAGGGAAGGCCCTTCTGAAACAAGTCAGGCCTAAGCAAAGATGCACAAGGCAGGGACACTTCCAGGTAACAGCCTCAAATCCTAAGTTCCTCTCCAACAGTACATCGATGAGTGGTGGTTGTGTCTAAAGTTCCAGAAGAGGGGACAGACACTGGAAGGACTTAAATGGTGACTAGCTGGTGAGGTACTAGCTGGTGAGGAATGTTCATGTTTAGAGAGGCAGAAACATCCTGGTGATGTTTCATGATTTCTTTCACTTCCTCTTCCAGCTCTGGAGGGATGATAAACTGAT